TTAATTTAATAAAATAAAACAATAAATAATTAATTAAAATTTTCACTTTTGAAGTCAATTTAATATAAATAAATCAATTTTGTTGTCAAATAAAGAATACAAATCTTTTTTCTCAATTTCTTGGTCGAGCTTTGGGCTTTATATGAGGATCGGGCTTGGGCTCAAGATCTAGGCCCAATGGTTCAATCATGCTCAAACTTGGACTTGAATATGTTCAATTGATATAAAGGCAAAGGTCGCATCCCGACATGACCTGTTAATATGTTTAATCCCAACCCCAAGAGTGGAGCCAAGGGGACCAGGGAAGCCATGGCCTCCCATTCCACTTACATTTTGGCCCCCCTCATAAATATTAGGCTTAAACCTACCTATTGATAGCCCTAAATATAGGACTACCAATGGATCAGGTCTGGGTCGGAACTAGTTGGAACTGGAACCGGCCCAACATGAAATGTTAAGGACCCGGACACATAGGGTTTGTAATTTTTGGATCGGAATTGAATCGACAAACCCGATTATAATAAATAAAAATAAATATTTATGTATAATATATATATATTATGTATAGTATATATATAATTTATTTATTTAATATATTGTACATTATATATATATATTCTAAACCAATAGTAATTGGAACCCTATATCAGGACCCAAAATTGACTCGTTGGTTCCAATTCTCGGAACTAGAATCGGCCCAACTGGTTCGGGTCCATTAGGTTCGTTGAGTTGGACCTAATCCATTAACAACCCTACCTAAATATTGGGTTCAAGGCTCAAGGGGAGAGAATAATTTGTTAGTAAAATATTTCTAAATAAATAAATAAATGTCTATTAAAATCTTTTTCTCAATGTCAAATCTCCTTTATTTTACTGATTTACAAATAATTTATTTACTTTTATTAACTAAATAAATTCTTAGATAATAATAATAAATTAAATAAATAAATGTCTATTAAAATCTCTCTCAATGTTAAATATATTTTATTTTATTGATTTATAAATAATTTATTTATTTTTATTAAACAAATAAATGCTTAGATAATAATAAATAAATAAATAAATAAATAAATTCCTATTAAATTCTTTCTCTCAATGTCAATCTCCTTTATTTACTGATTTATAAATTATTTATTAACTAAATAAATGCTTAGATAATAATAATAAAATAAATAAATTATTAAAATATTTCTCTCAATGTCAAACCTCTTTATTTTATTGATTAAAATAATTTATTAAATAAATAAACTCTTAGATAATAAAAATAAATAAATAAATGAATAAATAAAAGTTGAGATAAAGAATAGGAGGAGAGAGAGAGAAAATTAAGCGAGAGAGAAGAGGGATGACATTTTGTTTTGTAGGATGGCATAATCGTAAGTAAATTATATATGTCATTGCTGTAATTTTCAAATATCATAGAGGCATTGCTGTAAAGAGAGTGAATTTATCTTATATGTGGCATTCCTATAATTTTTGAATGCCTTAGAGTCAATTAAATTGAAAGATTTGTCTTATATGTTATAGTCTTGTAATTTTCGAATACCTTAGACGCAATTACAAGTTGGAAGATTTGTCTTATATGTGGTAGTCATGTAATTTTCGAATAACATATGGGCAATTACAAGTCAATCAGATAAGGGGGTTTGTCTTTATGTGGAAATTTTTGTAATTTTTAAGGAAAAAAAAGCAAAAGTTATTGTTAGATTCCATTTTTTTGCATCCTCATGTTTTCCTTCGTACACATTACAGCTTAATATATTTATATAGATTAATCCCCATTTTTTTTTAATATTTAGGTAGTTGATCGGTCAATCCAACATTTAAACTTACTAGACGACCTTTTGTACGACTTTGGATTGTATCTAGATGTCCTGCCTGCAACTCTCTACCCACTATGATAAACTACAATAGCACATCGCCCATCTTGTATTGTGAGATGTGACCAATTGACCATGTGGGGAGCTTCAATGTCTTGTGGGTAGAGAGAGTGGGTACAACAAGTGGGCAGGAAATTTGGGTTTGCTCAGATTTGAAATCGGATTCAATCAGTGCAAGGCCCGTTCCAACAACTTGTATAGCCATGCATTGGGAATATCTCCCCATGAAATAAAACACAGAAATACGGAGATGTTCCCAATGCAAGGTTGTAAAGGCTTGCATTGGTATTGCACTAACTGAAGCCGATCTCCTCAGATTTGCTCCCTAGAAGCCTCCAAATAATGAACCAGTCAACCAATTGGGTCTGGTTCAGGATAGTATGTATCGGTACTGTTTCAATCAAGGTTTTTAAAACTAGACTGGCAGAGAACTGTTCTGGATCCAGTTCCCAAGTCAAGTGGTCCAACCGTCAGATCTGAATGGGTGGCCTAATCTGATAGAAAAAATAAAAAACAAAAAAATAGCCAAAAACCATTGTCTGAGTTGATGGTTCAACCACCTGGGTCAATGATTCACTAACCAAATTAATGATTTTTTGCCAAAAAGTGGTTTTAGGGTAAAACAGAATTGATCAAGTGACTAGTTCTTGGTTTTTCCGGTCCAGTCCAGATTTGAAAACCATGGTTTCAATTATTAATGGGGGCTATTATAAGATAGACCCAAAAACAATTGTGTCTAACCCAAACCAATTATATTTATGATCCATTTGGTTCATAGTTGAAATCGGAGTTGGAACCACAATCCTTTGGGATTGGAATTAGAATGGTCTGGTCTCATAGTCTATTTTGGTTCCAATAGGAATTGGAAGTAGCTGGAATGGGATTTCATTCCCAAAGGAGAGGGAGGAAATGACCATTCCCTCAATTGGGGAATGCCATTCCACCAAGAATGGAAATGAGATTCAGATTTTGTCCAATCAAAAGTTGGAATCAAAATGGTCCCCATTCCAGAGCCCACTTTTCCTACCCACTCTTTACCCACCGTGAATTGCAGCCACACATCTCTCAAATCATAATAGAGATGTGTGGCTCCAATTCACATGGATAGAGAGTGGGTAGGAAAAGTGAGTAGGAAA